ACCGTTCAGCCCGGGAGTGGACAGCCTCATAAAACCAAATGGGACTAATGAGGCACAGCAGTCCAGGGACAAGGGCCAGAAGGCAGAAGGGGACAGGAAAGCTGCTGATGCTAGGGAACCCAAGGTTGAGTAAGGATAGTGTTGATGTGAGGTTGTTAACCATTGTCATAGGGCAACATGTGTACTAACTGTTAAATGAGATACTTTTTTTCTGTAAGCCTTCATCTAAAGTGAGAATAGCAACACAATTGGAAGAGTGTAGTCGATGTCACTGAACTGTGCATGTAGAAATTTTTGAAATGGTGTATCTTTGGCTATGTATATTTTCACCACCACCAACAAAAAAAGGTTGAGAAGGGAGAGGGTTGACATGTTGTGGGGTTATTAACCAATGTCATAAAACAATGTGTACTACTGTTTCATGAGAAACTATTTGTTCTGTAAGCCTTCACCTGAAGTACAATAAAAGAAAAAAAAAAAGAGTAGAAAAAAAAAAAACCATTTGACACACTCCTACTATTTATACATCTAAAATGAGATCTTCCCATGTGACATTTTAAATTCCTGATGGTCTTTGCAGGTGGAATGGAACAAATTTATTGCTGTGAATGGAGCAACTGCCTGTCTTCATTATGATCCAGATGGAACAGCATACAACATGGGGAACTCCTATGGGGCACGTGGTAAAGTTGGGATGGAAGTCTATTTATTTATTTAGATTCTTCACCTAAGACAGCAGAAGAGATGCTTTATCACACACGTTACGCGCAGCCACAGCTGCGACCAGAACTAGTCCAGAGTGTCATAGGTCCAGGGCAATGGGTCAAAAGAGACTGATTTGGTATGAGTAAGGTGCACTTCTCAGAGGTGTTCACAGTGACTGAATGGTCGTGGATGTTCTAGATCCATTGGGACTGAAGTTCTAGGCAGTAGCATGCAGTCAACAACTTGTACCAGCGTCCCTGGCCTCCAGCACTCCATCTTCCGGCTGCTGTGGCCTATGTGGGTACACAGGCGAGCATTTACCTCTGCATCATCTTTCTTCTTTTGCGCTTCAGTCTGCACATTAACTTCTTCCTCTGCTTGGCTCTTATGGTTTGGAGGTTTCTAACAAAATGGCGCTGAGCCCCGGAGAGTCTTTTTAGAAATAACTGGGAGTTAACTTTCTTCTTGGGGTTCCATTCTGGCCAAGATGTAAACATATGTAATTTTATTTAGAAAGGTTCAGAAGGAAGTCTCCAAAGTGGCATCACTGTGCTTAAAATGTATAATTTATCATTAACATCTGTTCTGTGGTCCTTTTGCACATTTTCTTAGCAGCTGAGTTTGGTTGACCTTTTCAGCAGTTCAGTTACATATATATGACTCACATTTTTATGGCTGTTTCATTGTGCTTTTTGGCTCACAAGCATTGCAAGGATTTTCAGTAGATATTTCCTAAACTAGAAATTTTTAAGAAATAACATATTGTAAGTACAAGAAACTTAGACTGCTATAGCAAACAGATATAGGGTAGATACAATGTTTATCACCTAAGAATTTTTTTTTTTTTTTTAAATCATGGGAGAAATACACTATCAAGTAAGTTAAGGTCATACTGCGGTTGTAGTCACAACTCCTTACTTTTTTTCCTGGTCATCCACACACTTCTTTATCTATACTTTCTATCAATCTACTCCAGAAGATTCTAATAGCTAATAATGACAGCTAACATTTATTGAATGCCTGCTATATGCTTGTATTAAACATTTTCCCCTATATTTTCTTATTTAATCCTTAAACCAACTCTCTGTCCCTTTTATACACAAGGGCAGTGAACTTTGATGAGGTTTAAATCACTTACTCAGGCAAGCAGCCTCTTAGTGGCTGAGACTAGACTTGGCACCTAGCCTGTTGTCTCACTCAGAGGCTTGCTATTAGTCACTCTGCTAGATCATCTCATTAGTTATTCATCACTGAGTGCAGAAGACTATATTGGTATTTTTAGTACCCAATGTCCACCTAATCACCATTTCTTCCTCCATTTGTTTACAATGGCCTTTTCACCTATCTACCTACTTTCTAAGGGCATACAAATTAACATTCCTATATCTGAGTACACATGTCTTTTTGAAAAGGAATGTATAAGTACATATATTAGATATTTCTAACTATCTCCATCTCTGTCTTAGCTGTCAATCAACCTATCACCTACACTCTATGAAACATTTGTATAGGTTAACGGTGTACCTTTGGTGAGTAACTGGCTTTGTGGGTTGCTCTCTCTACCTCTCCAGATTTACCTACACATTTAGAAGGATGTGAGTGTATATGAACATGAATACTGCAGGTTTGTTTGTTACTGGTGCAGGTTGAGATCAGGTGCCCTAGAAACCCCATCATCCAGCTCTCTCCTTTTTATTGCCTGCTCTCACCTAAGGATGTATTCTTCACAGTGATTATAAGAAACAGCAAAATTCTTTTAGATAAAATGTTTCAGCGAATGGACAAACTGACTTAGCAATTTTTTGTATTATCCAACTTTTGATCATTAAAAAAAATCTACTTCTTAACAAATTAACTCCATTAACCATTCTGAATTATACATTCTAAAATAAACAGGCACTATCAGTGCGTGTCAGGCTTTACTGTACCTAAGAATCATCATCTGGAATGCTTGCTAGTAATGGAGGTTACTGGACTTCATCTTCAGAGATTCTGGTTCAATAGAACTGAAAAGGGGCCAGAAATCTGTATTTTAATGATTTCCCTCCCCATCTTGGTGCATTTTAACAAGGCCCCCAGGTAATCCTGATGCAGGTGGTCCCTGGATCTCAGTTTGAGAAACCCTGCCACCAATCATCAGAAGCTGTGCTTGTCACTTTGCCGCAATTTGCTGTTTATAAAAGCCCCTGGAGAGTCTCCTAGAGACAACGACTCACGGTGTTGGGCAAGTCAGATATTACTGAGCATTTCTCCACTGGTTGTTGGCCTGGGAGTCTGTTTTGCGTTATACCTTCAAGACTTGCAGTTAGAACGGTTCATTAACTAACAGTGCTTAAATTTAGTGAATTGAGTAATCGTCACTTAATTGCTGAGACAGGAAATTCTTCTCTTTATTTTCTAATTGCAATTTACTTCCTATTTTCTCCCTTGATTATTTGGTTCAGTGAGAAGTTTTTGAACTGTAACTCAATGTAGATGTAGCCATAGGGAGCTCAGCTACCTAGGATGCCTCTGAGGGAAATGTAGTGACTCTCATTGTAATAAAGTAAAATGCTTGCTCGTAGTTCCTACCTATAGAAAATGATAAGTTTCAATTGTTTTAGCTTTTCCATATATTTTAAAAAGGCTTTTTAAAATTAACAAAAATCCTCTAAACATTAATCAATCTAACTAGTTTTTTTTTTTTAAATAATAGACTTTATTTTTTAGAGTAGTTTTAGGATTACAGCAAAATTACGTAGAAAGTACAGACAGTTCTCATATACTCCTTTCCCTTGTACGCTGTCTCCTATTATTAACATCCCGCATTCATGTGGTACATTTGTTACAACTGATGGACCAATATTGATACCTAATTATCAACTAAAGTCCTTAGTTTACCTCAGGTTCACTCTTTGTATCGTACAGTCCTATGGACTTTGACAAACACATAATGTCATGTATCCGACGTTACAGGACAAAGCTACACTGATCAAGACAGCGTGGTATTGCCGAGGAATACACAGATAGATCAGTGGAATATACTGTTCTTCAGTATTGTGTTTGCTATTCTGGGTCTATTGCCTTTCCATATAAACTTTAGAATCCGTTTGTTGATATTGATAAAATAACTTGTGGGATTTTGATTGGAATTGTGTTGAATTTATAAATCAGGTTGGGAAGAATTGGTATATTAATATTAAGTCTTCCCATTCATGTGCATGAAATATTTCTCCGTTTATTTAGATTTTCTTTCATCAAAGTTTTATAGTTTTGCTTATATAGATCTTGTACACATTTTGTTAGGTCTAACTCTAAGTATTTCATTTATTCTTGCCAATGTAAATGGTGTTGTGTTTTTAATTTTGAGTTCCAGTTGTTCATTGTTGGTCTATAGGACAATTGACTTTTATATATTAACCGTGTGTCCTGCAACCTTGTTATAATTGTTTATTAGTTCCAGGAGGGTTTTGTTTTTTTTTTTGTCAGTTCTTTGGAATTTTCTACAAAGAAAATTATATTATCTGCAAAGACAGTTTTATTTTTTCCTTCTCATTCTGTATACCTTTTATTTCCTTTAGTTATCTAACTGCATTAGCCAGGACTTCCAGTACAATGTTGAATATGAGGGGTGAGAGGGGACAGGGGACATGCTTGTCTTGTTCCCAGTCTTAGGTGGAAAGCATCTAGTTTCTTACCATTCTTACCATTTTTTGTAGATGTTCTTTATCAAGTTGAGAAAGTTCCATTCTATTCCTAGTTTGCTGAGATTTTTGATCATGAATGGGTGTTGGATTTTGTCAAATGTTTTTTTCTGCAAATAGTAGCGCTTACCCTTATATACTCATTCCTGATCTTCATTCCTCGGTTTATTTTTCATCATAGTCCTTATCATCATCTGATGCATTGCATTTTTTTACTTATTACATTATTTATTAGATTATGAGCTTCATAAAAGAAGAGGCTTTTGTCTATTTCGTACACTCTTGTATTCCTAGCACTTAAAATGGTGTCTGGAATGTAGTAGGTGCTCAATAAGTAGTTGCTGAATAAATGAATAGAGAACTGTATAATTATCTTGCTTCAAAAGATACTAAAGATGGAAAAATTCTGTAAGCTACTCAAGTTTTTCAGGACCTACATTGATAATGTAATACCAGGAAGATAATTTAATATAACCCAAATATTTGTTTATGGAGCACTGGTGGCACAATGGCTAAGTGCTTGGCTACTAACTGAAGGGTCAGTGGTTCAAACCCATCAGCTGCTCCATGGGAGAAAAGACCTGATGATCTGCTCCTGTAAAGATTGTAATCTAGGAAACCCTATGGGGCAGTCCTTCTCTGTCACATTGGGTCACTATGAGCCGGATTCAACTCCATGGCACACAACAACAAGTATTTCTTTATTCTTTGAGTAATTAAACAAACATGACATTAATTAATCTGTCAATAGCTATTTATTGTGTGCCTCCTAAATGCCAGGCCCTTGTTTGGTATGAGGATGCAAAGATGAATCAGACACAATTACCACCCTTCAGGAGCTCACTAGTCTTCTGGGGGAAGCAGATGAACAAGCAGAAAATTCTAGTACAATGAGATAAGCTCTATGACTATATTAGATAAAACAAGGGCACAGAAGAGGGGCACCAAATGCCTTTGGGGTGAGGAAGAGTCAGGGAAGGCTTCACTTGAGGATTAGATACCTGAAGTGATTCTAGAAGAACTAGTAAGCAATAGCTAGATGAATAATTGCATGAATGAATATTGATGAGACAGGATGGGATGGAATCCAGAATGACTCCATGAGGTCCAGAGCACCCGAGCGAATGAGTCAAGCATGGGTGCAAATGGAGATTGTAGTTGTTGGGGTTGGGGAGGGACAAACAGAAATTGAAGATATTCCTGGCTGATATCTTCTCTTTTCCTATAAAGTAGAAATCTAGTTTATCTGTTGAGAGTGAGGTGTCACCATTTGAGAGCATTAAAATACAACGAATTATTGGCTGATTGTGTATATTTGTTTCAAAACCTTAAATAATGACTTTCATAAAGTTAATGTATTTTTAATATCCAACTCTTTTGTTTGAAATAACCTTTCATGAAATATGAATGTCATGTATATTGCATAAATCTCTTAACTGCTTGCCTAGTTCACAAATGCATGGGTTATCTTTTATTCTAGAGTGTATGTAAAACAGTTAAGAAAGGATTTTCCATTTTCCAAGTTTCTGCTATAATGTTATTTGGGTTCCTCCAGAGAAGGTGGACCTTGGGGAGACAATCCATGGAGCCCAGGTGATACGTTTTATTGCTTCTGCAGAGAAGATGAAGCCTTCTAACAACCATAGTTTTGGTGAGCCCAGAGATAAGGCAAATATGGGGCCTACTTTAACGTCTCTGTAGCAGAGGGACTAGCTTTGGCAAGAGCTGTGTTAATACAGGTGGTCAGAGTATGGTGATAATGAGACCAAGGTTGCATTTTAATGCCATGTAAATTTATTCTGTTTAGTGGTCATGTACTCCTTACCCTAGCCAGCTTGAAAAATATATAGTTGCTTTAGTGCAAGCAATTACTAAAAAATTAATGGACAGAATTCAAAATTTTAGGTAACTTTAAAGCCCACAAATAATAATCATACATGAAAAAGCTTCGAGTGTATTTTTTTTGGGAAATTCATATTCTATATAGATTGCTTCAGCTTTCAATCAGAATATTTATCTTCTGCATTCTAAAGCCTTTTATTCAAACTGCTCCTAAATCCTTATCCCCAGCGTAATAGGAAAAGGATTAAAAAATAAAGGACCAGATCATAAATGACACTTTAATATTATGCTTCTCTACTTTGTTCCAAAACCAAAATAAAAAATAAACAAACAAAAAAACCAAAACTGAGGACATTCAACTCAAACTGTTCTAAGCAGTTCCCTTTTTTATGTAGGGACAGGAAACATGCATAGCAAAGCTGGCAAACAGTGAAGAATTATCACTGCTGGCATTTAAGTCAGCAATAATATGTCCAGGCATTGATACAAGTCCCCACAACTGTCACAGCTCAGACAACTCTATTTTGCCAAATAACATTTTATTATTTGCCAGAACCTTTTAGGAATGACAAGGAACTACATAATCTTCATTGAACAGCCTCTAAAGATGAATCTGTGGAAAATTTCACTTCCAAAATTCAGGAAAAGGCCTTTTCAGATGGGGTAAGCTGGGAACCCTAGTATAATATGTGATTCCATTTGGTGAATAAGCCCACTGGACAGTTGGAGTATTTTGAGTATATCTATCATGAAAATGGACACAAAGGCATATTTCCTTGTGGTTGATTTTTTACTTCATTGGGCATTACTTACATAATATGCTCTTAATCAAAGATATTACCTTTTTCCATAGATAGTGCTAGCTACTTATTAATTAGTACAGTGGATTTTGTATACTAGAAAATGTTAAGAAATGATTTTATCCTTTTAATTATCTGAATCAATTAAAATGGCATGTAGGACATCCATTGTAATAGTTGCTAAAGAGAATGTTATTTATGCAGAAGTCTTCTGTAACTTTCACAATGACCTTTAATTAATTGCTTCTATGACTTCCTGATATGTGAATATGATAAGCCTACCAAAGTCCAAAGCACATCGGCTGAATATCTTTCTATACTCCTGATTCATAGCACCATTATGAATTATTATTCTAACTGAATTTCATAAGAAAATTTTAGTAATGAGTGCATCAAAGAATTAGTCACTAATCTTAATTTAAGTATACTTAGTAGAAGTATTTTGTATTTCACCATGTAATAATGATGTATTTATTCTTCAAAACATTGGACCACATTTCATGAGGACTTTTAAGTTAGTTGTAACAGTTTATCTATATCAAATAGCCCCAATTAATTAATTAATATGAGACCACTTAGGCAAATAATGGAGCCCTGGTGATGCAATGGTTACGAGCTCGGCTGCTAACCAAAAGGTCGGCAGTTTGAATCTACCAGCTGCTCCTTGGAAACCCTATAGGGCAGTTTTACTCTGTCCGATAGGTCACTATGAGTCAGAATCAAGTTAGTCAATTCCGACTTGACGGCAACGGGTTTAAGCAAACAACGCTTAACACATATTTGCTCCCACATTTGGATTCTACTTCTTTTACACCTACCAGGCCTGTCAATTAAGGGGAAAAAACTCATTTAATTTTCTTAATGTGAACTTTGTGGATCTGTTTCCTAAAGGAAAGAAAAGAAAAGAAAACATCTCTTTTTCATTGTGTTTTACCTTGCAGCTTCTTTCAGGGAGGCACTGCAGTAAACCTTTTGTTACTTATCATCAAATCAGTGCCTTTGAGGACCAGGGCTGTGTTGTAATTGATTTGTGCTGTCAAGATAATGGAAGAAGCCTAGAAGTTTACCACCTACAGAATCTCAGGAAAGCTGGAGAAGGGCTTGATCAGGTAAACATGTTTGATTCATCAGGAACTGTCAAAATAATTTTGACCTAACCAAGTTCTGGCTTTCTTTGGAATTAACTGTTTCTTTTGCCCACTGTGGCAAACTAGTAGTGAGAATAGTTGTGAAGCATTAAAGGCACAGGTTTGTCATTTATTTACTTAATATTAAAAAAGAATTTAAGGGAGCTTACTTAATAGTTAATAAATAAAAAGCATGTTAAAGAGAGCTGAGAGATGTGTTCTGAAGCACTTGTGATTAGTTTCTTCTTACACTTGAGTAGTAAACATATTTAAGTTCCCTGTAAGGGATGGTGAAATGGACTATAATCTTAATTCTCTGATAAAAAAAGGTACATAAATTTATCCATCAGGAGGGATACTGAACTCAGGTAAATTTTTCCTTGGATTATATAATGTAAATTGTCTTCAGCTTATAGTTTTATTTTTAAAGCTTTAAAAAATTTATTACATATTAAGTTTACTTATATTATTATCAGAACCCTGTTGGTACAATGGTTAAGCTCTTGGCTGCTAACCAAAAGGTTGGCAGTTTGAATTCACCAGCTGCTCCTTGGAAGCCCTATGGGGCAGTTAGTTCTACTCTGTCTTATAGGCTTGGTATGAGTCACAATTGCCTCGACGGTAAGGGTTTGGTTTTCTGGTTTTATATTATTACAGTTGTATAATAGGTCTTGATATCTGTAGTATAAATCCTTTAGCTCTATTCTTTTTCAAGATATTTTTATTTCTGATATTATGACTTTTGCTGTCTGTTTTTTTGTTTAGACTTGCCAGGATCTTATCAATTTCATAAGAATTTTCAGAGAACCATCTTTTTGGCTTTGTGTATATCTTTTTTAATGTATATCCTTTTTAATGTATATCTGTTTTATGTTTCTTTAATTTCTGCTCTTATTTTTATTATTTCCTTTTCTACTTTCTTTGTGTTTAGAGTGCTGTTCTTTTTTTAACTTCTTGACATGAATCCTTGGTTTGTTGTTTTTAATCCTTTCCCTCTCTAATCTATATCTTTGAGATCATAAATTTATCTCTCAGCGGGGTTTGAACTGCATCCTACAAGTTTTGATATGGTTTATTTTTATTATCTTTCAGTTAAAGTATTTTCTAACTTTCATTGGTATTTCTTCTTTGAAATGTGTTTCTTAATTTTCTAACATATGGGAACTTTTCCAGGTTTTTTGTTTTTGGTCATTGATTTCTAGCATAATTTTACTGTATGATTTTAATCCTTTGAAATTTATTGAGATTTGCTTTGTGGCTCAGCATAAGATCATTTTTGTAAGTGTTCTGTGTGTATCTGAAAAGAATGCATCTTTTTCAGTTTTGGATGTAGTGTTTTATATGTGTCAGTTAGGCATTTTTGCTAATAATATTGTTTAAATCTTCTCTATCCTTATTGATCTTTGTTATATCAGTTATGGGGAGATGTGTTAAAATCTTCCACTTGGATTATGACTTTTTCTACTTCTCCTTATAGTTCTGCTAATTTTTGCTTTATATATTTTAGTGTTCTGTTATTAAGCACATATAAATTTAGAACTGTTTTACCTTCCTATTTTATTGAACATTTATCTTTGAGTAATGCTTTTTGCCTTAAGGTGATATCTTTTAAGTGGGTGGCACAAATGATTAAACACTTGACTACCAGCCAAAAGTTGGTGGTCAGAACACACCCAAAGACACCTTGGAAGACAGGCCTGGTGACCTGCTTCCGAAAGGTCAGGGCCTTGAAAAGTCTATGGAGCAGTTCTACTCTGCACACACAAGGTTCCCAGGAGTCAGAAGTCAGAAACAGCAGCATCAACAACAACAACAGCAACAGAAACAGCAGCAGCAGCAACAGCAACAACAGCAGCAGCAGCAACAACAACAGCAACAACAGCAGCAGCAGCAACAGCAGCAGCAGCAACAGCAGCCACAACAGCCACAGCAACAGCCACTACAACATTAGCAACAGCACCAGCAGCACCAGCAATAACAATAGTAACAGCAACAACATCAACAGTAGCAGCAGCAGCAACAACAGCAGCAGCAGCAACAGCAACAACAGCAGCAGCAGCAACAGCAACAACAGCAACAGCAACAACAGCAGCCACAGCAACAACAGCCACAGCAACAACAACAGCAACAGCAGCAGCAACTACAGCAGCAACAGCAACAACAGCAGCAGCAACAACAGAAGCAGCAGCAGCAACAGCAACAACAGCAGCCACAGCAATAACAACAGCAACAGCAGCCACAGCAACAACAGCAGCCACAGCAATAACAACAACAGCAACAGCAGCAGCAGCAACAATGGCAGCAGCAACAACAGCAGCAGCAGCAACAGCAACAACAGCAGCAGCAGCAGCAACAACAGCAGCAGCAGCAGCAACAGCAGCAGCAGCAGCAACAGCAACAACAGCAGCAGCAACAGCAGCCACAGCAGCAACAGCAACAACAGAAACAGCAACAACAGCAACAGCAACAACAGCAACAACAGCAGCAGCAACAGCCACTACAACATTAGCAACAACACAAGCAGCAACAGCAGCAACAGCAACAGCACCAGCAGCACCGGCAGTAACAATACTAACAGCAACAGTAGCAGCAGGAGCAACGACAGCAGCAGCAACAACCACAATAGGAACAACAGCAGCAACAATAGCAAGAACAGCAACAACCGCAGCAACAACAGCAACAATGCTTTTTGCCTTAAAGTCCATTTTTTTCTTAGGGTTTGCACACTTAACTTTTCCATCCTTTTACTTTTAATCTTTCTAAGTGTTTCTCTTTTAAGTAGCATATATTTAAAAAATCCATGTTCTAATTCTTGACTTTTAATTGGGCATTTATTTGAATCAGTATTGGGATTTAAATATACCATTTTACTCTTTGCTTCCTGTTTATCCCACTAGTTTTTTCTCTCCTCCTGCCTTCTCTGTATTAGTTGAGTATATTTTATTATTCCATTCCCCAGCCTCTCCCCCAAAACCTCACCCTTACCCTGCCCATTAGATTACTAGTTATATGTTCTTTTAGTGTTATTTTGGAGATTAAAATAAAGATCCTTGACTTATCAAAGTATATTATAGATTGATTCTTTCCAGACAATGCAAGGACCCTGGAATACTTCAAATCCATTTACTCTACTCCTGATTTATATACTCTATTTTTGCATATTAAAAAATATATGTACATATATGTGTATATATCTATGTGTGTGTATAAAACCCTACAAGGCATTATTATTGTTGTTTCATGCAGTCATAATTACCCATACTACCCATTTACCCACATCCATACCTTTTCTGTTGCTTTTAATTCTTTCTAGCCTCTCTGAACTGCCATCTGGAATAATTTGCTTTCTGACTGAAGTACATCCTTTAGTATTTCCTTTAGTGCACATATGCTAGTAATGAATTCTTTATTTTCATTTGTCTGAAAAATATCTTTGTCTTCCTTTTTAAAGGATGTTTTAGTTGGAGAAAGAATTCTAGATTGTTATTTTCTTTTGACACTTTTAAAGATATCACTTTATTGTCTTCTGATTTCTGTTGAGAAATCAGCTGTCTGTCTAATCATTGCTCTTTTAAAGTTAATCTGTCTTTCCCCCGCCTCTGGCTATTTTTAAGATTTTCTCTTTGATTTTGTGCACTTGTACTGTGGTATCTCTCAATATCATTTTCTTTTGATTAATTGACTTATTTTGGTTTTGTAGGGAATCTTGAATCTATGGTTTGATGTCTTTCATTGGTTTTGAAATTTCTTACCTATTATTTCTTCAAATATTGCATCTGTACATCCTTTCTCTCCTTTCTGGGACTGCAGTATACTTATGTTAGCCTTTTCACTGTATCCTTCTTCTGATTATATTCTTTTTAGTATTTTCTACCCTTTCTTCTCTCTAAGCATCTTTTCTTCTTATCTATCATACGGTTTACAAACTCTCGCTTCGGCTGTGTCTGTTCTATTACACCTAATCACTAAGTTCTTAAATTCATTGCATTTTTCAGTTCTAGAATTTTCATTTCATTCTCTTTTTATAATTTCTAGTTCTTTGCTATAATTCTAGATTTTAAAACATTTACAACAGATGATAGAGAGCCACAGGGGATCCAGATAATAGAGTTATTAGGCTTTAATTTATCAGACTTTCATTCCAAACATACTCAGAATAGTTAAAGTCTGATAACTCCATTATTTTTTATTTTATGCAGAACATTGTATTTGAAAAATTGTAGAAATATTTTGATACCCAGGATGATGTTTTTTCCTCTAGAGATTTTCATTTACTTCTGGCAGATGGCTGGGATACATTGTTAATTCCAGATAGTCTTAATTCAGTTATAGGGATTGAGATCATTTGAAGCAGGAATCAGTCTCTGCAAGAGCTGGACTATTTCTTGTTACCCCTATTTGTAGGGCGTAGACCTATGGGTTCCGAACTCAAGGAGTTGGAAGTTTACCAAGGCTTCCCCCTTTTTGGAAGCCCCTGAACTCTAACTTTTGTACCTCAAAACTTTCAAAATCTCTTCTCCTTAGGGATGAGGAGTGGGGAAGTTGGTGCTATCCTGATAAAAGGGTAGCACAAAGGATCGTTATGGTGATGTAACTGTTCTGTATCTTGACTGTGATGGTGGTCACGTGAATTTACACATATGATAAAGTTGCATAGGGCTAAATACACACACACATACACACACACACAAATGAGTGCCTGTAAAACTAGTGAAATCTGAGTAGGATTGATGGATTGTGTCAATGTTATATTTCCTAATTGTGATATTGTATTCTAGTTGTGCAAGATGTTATCATTGGGGAAACTGGGTGAAGGATACACAGGATCTGTCTTATTATTTTATACAACTGCATGTGAAGCTGCAATTATTTCAAAATAAAAATGTAATTAAAAAAAAAAAACAAAAACAAAACTCAGTTTCTCAGCCTCCCAGCTATCTCTCCCTAAAAGCAGCAGATGTTCTTAGAGGAAAAGTTGTCCCCAATACCTAGCTCATCGCTATGGACCTCCTTTCTTCCAAATCTTGGCCCTGTTGTTCTTCACCGCCTTTCTATGTCACCAATGCCATTAAGCAGTGGTTTTAAATATTTTGTCCAGCTTTTCTAGCTGTTCTTAGTGGGAAAGTTGATCCACATTACTTAATTCACTGTTATTGGAAGTCTCTTTTTGTTCAGCTGTGGTTTTTCAAAAGAAAAAAATATTTAAATTAAAAATAATTTTTAAAATGCTAACCCTTTATGATGCTTAAAAATAGCACTAAATCTTTACTCAGTAAAAACATGCCTGCATGAGATGGTGGTAATATGAACTAGGCATGTTAATTATTATGATATAACTTAAGATAGCAATAATTTATAGCAGTACTGTCCAGTACGGTAGCCTCTAGCCACATATAGCTTTGTAAATTACTTAAAATTAAATAAAATAAAAAATTTAGTTCCTCAGTTACTGTAGCCACATTTCCAGTACTCAGTAGCCATATGTGGCTAGTGGCTACAGTATGGGAAAGTACAGCACATTTCCATCATTGCAGACAGTTTTATTGGACAGCACTGGCTTAGAGTATTAATTTTGGATACTGTACACATTGAATGAATAATTACCATTGATTATTTATACTTACCATTAATAATTGTATTTGAAACAGTATAGAAATATTAACAGAACAAATTAAGATATAATTATTTAATAAATTAACTATAATTAAGTAATATTATTAATTAACTTAATAATTACATAACTTAATTATTTCTCACAAATACTGGATATCTCAAGCAAACCTTTTGCAAGTGCTATTTGGCAATAAACTCATGGTTGCACTCTTTTTTTTATTACTATGCTTTAGGTCATAGTTTACAGTTAAAGTTAATTTCTCATACAAAAATTTATACACATATTGTTATGTGACACTAGTTGTAAACCCTATAATGTGACAGCACACTCCCCCTTTCCACTTTGTGCTTCCCGTGTCCATCCAACCAGCTCCTGTCCCTTCCTGCCTTCTCAACCTGCCTCTGGACAGGAGCCACCCATTTGGTCTCGTGTTATCTGCTTGAACTAAGAAGCACTCTCTTCATGAGTATTATTTTATGTTTTATAGTCCAGTCTAATCTTTGTCTGAAGAGTGGGCTTTGGGAATGGTTTTAGTTCTGGGTTAACAGAGCATCTGGAGGCCATGGCTTCGAGGGTTCCTCCAGTCTCAGTCAGACCATGAAGTCTGGTCTTTTTACATGAATTTGAGTTCTGCTCCATACTTATCTCCTGCTCTGTCAGGGA